ACAAACACACACACACACACACACACAAACACATATACACACGTAAACGCAAACATGCACGTACATGCGCTCGCGTGCGCTTAACCCTACTCACTTTCTCACATACTATCTCACTCTCTTTTCCTGTCAGTCACTCCCATTCTCTGCTTCTGCTCGCTCACACACTCGCTCAGCACTTTCTCATGTGCGTACGGATTTACACGTTCATTCATTAACCCACAAAAAAACGAACTCCATTCAGCGGATGGCTGGAGGACGTCACTGGTAGGTCTTGTTTCGTTTCTTTCCCTATGTTATATCTGTCTTTCTGTCTTACTTTCCCCCTGCACTAAATCACCATTATTGTGTCGATATGCTTCTCTTTAGTCAAATCAACAAACGTTCGCGCAAAGTTAACCACAAACGTGAATGGTTGGCCGGTGCTTCGGTGTGGTTTGCTCCTTCTTTCCTATCAAGCATCTATGGTCTTTTTCTCTCCTCTTTCTTCTGTGTTTCTTACTCTCTTGGAACACCTTCTAATCTTCGTGGGTGGTCGGAGGACGTCACTCGTAGGTCCTACATCTCAGCACTTTTGTGACCTAATAGTGTTGCAAGTGCTCTAAAACGCTTACTTACACAGAATAACACCCGCTCAAAGTAGCCACAGATGGAACAACCATCATGGCGTAGTTGTATCTCCGTTATCTTAGTTTTATCTGCCCAACTTTCAGATTCCATTTTTAGATTGAATTCTCACTGTCACGAGACGCAAGCCCTATTTTAAAGGTGAAATAGATTTCGTAAACATCAGAAGCACATGACCAAGATTCCTTTGCTTCGTTGCTCTCTTATCTTCTGTCCTTCCTCATTCCTTTAGGCATGTATCTGGTTGGCGGATGCTCTGATCTGGCTTGCTCCTTCTTTCCTATCAAACACTCATCGTCCTTATCTTTCCGCCTTTCCTTTGCATAATTCGTCTTGTTAGTGGTAACTTTTGTAATCTTCGGCACTAATATGACCTATTTTTATTTGTGTTTCAAGTGCTTCAAAATGTTTAATAAAACTGAAATCCTCTAGGCGCTGAGACTCTGTTTGTCTGCGAGTGTTTGTGGTGTAGTGGTTAGTTGCATCGCTGTTGCTAGCAGAAGGCGTGAGTTCAGTTCCAAGAAGGGTGAGTTTTTCAATGTGTCTCTCTGTCTTTCTGCTGGGACGGTCTATCTATCCCTTTCAGCCCGGGTTGGCTGTGACAAGCGAAATAGAAGCAGCTTGCTACCTTACATGACCTAAATTGTGTTGATTGGAGCTTTAAAAAATCTACAAATGCACCATCGTGAGTAGCAACAATACAGTTCTTAATTACAATTTCTAAGACCAGTTGTGGAATTTCCGCCTTTGAAATGAAAGTGTGTCTGGTTGAACGTCGAAGTATGTGTTTAGCGAGTTCTCTGGTGTGGTCTGCACAATTTTTTATATCAAATAAACATCAATCGTCCTTATTTTTCCTCCTTTCCTTTGTACGTTCCTCTCTTCTTGTGACACCTCTAATCTTCGGCACTTGTATGGTCTATAATTATTTGTCCTGCAACTGTGCCATAAAACTCTTATTAAACATTAAACTTGTAACATAGTTCTTAGTTACAAGCTCTGGGAATAGTGGTGGAATTCTGTCTGGAATGAATGTCGTGTTAAATTAAACTGGAACGTTGAACTGAATCCAACCAGTCCAGACCAATCGTCGAAAATTATTATGTCAGAACAATATTTAAATTATTCAGACAGTATTGTGGTAATTTGTCCCGCTTCTTTACGTCGTCACAGTAACAATTATGATCCTGTTTGTTTGAAAAAAGTATCATTTCATTTCACGGTGTATTTAATGCTTACCGAGAATCCCCCCCCCCCCTTCCCCGTCCCACGAAAAGACCCACTTCAACACGACTCGTAAATTATTTGCGATGCGCCATCACGATTTTATCACCATACATAGTTTTTTTCCTTTCCCTCGAACACGCATTTTATCAGTGTTTGATGTCCTCTTGTTTGAAAATTTAATTGATTAACAGGAGTACAACCACACGAGTAGTGTATTTAATTCTACGGCGAAATTATGGACGTGTTTAGTAACAGTTTGGCAAGGTCATACTTTGAGAAGTGGAAATGAGAAATGGGTTCAGCTATACCTGCCATTGCCCATTTTTGTTTTGGCTTCACGTACGCTTGCAGAAATGTGAGACTGTAGACTTGTGGAAAGAGGGATCAGTTTTACGAGAAGGTGCGACCACCCCCACCCCCCTCCTTCCCCCTTCCTGCCCTTTCCGTCCCGGCTTCTGTGGTGTATCAGTTCTCAGTTCGAATCCCCTAATGGAATGTTACGGATAGTTTGTTTGGAGCAGGAGTG